GGTCCGGGCTGGGGATTCGAACCCGCCACCTTAGGTGTACGTGGCTGGCGCCTTAGCCGGTTGAGCTATAGGCGCCGAGCCGGGCACAAAAATTATATGTATAAATCATTAGTTTTTATGTAGAAATACAACCAACTAGGAAAGATAATAAAAGATGTTAATAACAATATAAAATACTTACATTAAACTTAGCACAAGACTCAGAGCAGTGGCTCACACCTATAATCCTAGCACTCTGGGAGGCCAAGCTGAGTGGATCGCTTGATCTCAGGAGTCTGAGACTACCCTAAGTAAGAGCAAGTCCCCATCTCTACTAAAAATAGAAAAAGTAGCCAGGCGTTGTGGTGGGTGCCTATAGTCCCAGCTACTTGGGAGGCTGAGGTAAGAAGATCACTTGAGCCCGAGAGTTTGAGGTTGCTTTGAGCTATGATGATGCTATGACACTCAACCTAGAGCTACAGAGTGAGACTCTGTCTCAGGGAAGAAAAAAACAACTTAGCATAAAAACATGACATCTCTATATTTCAAATGAACTTATAAATTTCACTTAACACAAATAAAAGATACATTTCTCCATAGCAATGAAAATATCTAAGGGTTAATTTAGTGAAACATGCATAAGCTCTCAAGAAAATGTTTTAAACTCCATCAAAAGACTAAAGATTTTTTGACTAGATTAGTATCAATTTCACACTCTAGGATAGTGTGTGTCCATGTTATGTAGTAACCCATTTTCCACATATCAACCAGATATTAAAATCAACCAATAAAATATATTTAATTCAAATTAAAACCTGCCTAATTTTTTTTTAGGAACTTAATAAACTTACTCTAAAATTTTCCTGGAAGAATAAAAGACAATGAAGAACTTAGCCAATATGAAAATACATGTAAAATTTTAAAGAAGGAGAAGTCACTGTATCAGATTCAAGACATATTACAAAGTTTTAGTAATAAAAATAGTGTGGAGAGGGTGGCGCCTAGGGATCAAAGGAGTAGGGTGCTGGCCCCATATACCAGAGGTGGTGGGTTCAAACCCAGCCCTGGCCAAAAACTGAAAAAAAAAAAAAAAAAAAAAATAGTGTGGAGCTGCTGTAAAAACAGACCCTTGGAATGCAATAGAGAGCTCAGAGATAAACATGTGAATAGTAAAAACTTCACATTTGGGGAAAAAAAATCTCTGTCATACATTATGCTAAGCAAATGAGCCAAGCACAAAAAGACAAATATTGCATGATCTTATCTGTGGCATTTAAAGTAGTCAAACTTATAGAAGTACCCTCATATGTTGTCACTAATTCTCTTAGCAGCCCAGATCTTTTTGTTCCCAAAGCTTGCAACCTTCCCCCACTGCTAGGCAAGCTACATATCAAGCCCTACCTGTGCTCTCTGCTCCTATTCCCACTAGGCCATAGTAGCAAAATCAGCAAAAGCATCTTCCCCTTTCCCCACTTGGGGAACAGAGCCAATGAGAACAGGCTCAGGAACAGGCCATGAGGACCTGCACTCACCACTCAATCTCTAGAGGCTCACGGTCCCTCAGAAGCTCTTGCACCTCCTGCCGGCAGCGCTCCTGGTATTCTGGGTGCTTTGCAAGGTGATACAGGACCCAGGAGAGACCACTGGCTGTGGTATCATGACCTGAGGGGGAGCCCAAAAAGCTTGAGTCTCTGGGCTGCTTCAGCAGCAGGGTATGGACAGCACCCAGACATTGAGGCCCTTAGGGAGGATTGGAGGAGGGACAAGATGGGCAGAATGGGGTGATCCAGGGTCCACCCATCAAGTCCCTGGAATAGAAATACCCCTGTCTCCAAGTAGTCCCACACTGGGACACTCACCCTCAAACATGAAGGTGTCAGCTTCTGCTCTTATGTCCTCATCTGACAACCCCTTCCCATCTTCATCCTGTAGAGAAAGCAAGAACCCCAATTCACACTAGCTCTGAGGGTTCTGATTCTAACTTGAGACAATTTCAAAGATTCATCCTCCTTCCAAAAACCCAAGACTACCTTCCACTCCTAGACTTCTCTTGGTCCCCCTCACCAGAACCTTCACCCCACAGGCTTCCTCCCTGGCTTGCTTGCCTCTTCTTTTGTCCTTAGTGGCAGGAATCACTGATTTATTAATGTGTTTATGTTTCTGTATCATGACAGCCTTCTGAGGAATAAAGTTATTGGTAATCTGGGCTACAGGATGATTAAATGATTATTTGCCTTGGAAGTCACAGATTTAGTACTGCTCCAAAGATATCTATCTGCTCACATTCTAGAGTAATCCAGAGAATCTTATCTCCCCTGGAAACATTTAGATTGTAAACCCATAGACTTTGGCATCTCACTAGAGAGGATTTTTTTATGCTTTAGAGAATTAAAAAATGTTTCTCTATCTATCTATCTATCTCAAAATGTGTTCATCTGTCCTATATAAGTACCAAGACATAGAGACCCTCTCCTATGATGCAAACTCTGCTGTACATATAGTTAGAAGCACCATGTCACCCTCAGAAGAGTTTGGGATTGGGGAGCCGGTGCTGCAGTCTAACTCTGGCTATTATTGCTGTGAGTAAGAAATGGGCTTCCCTGATCCAGGGTTTTCATCTGTCAAAATAGATATAGACATAGACAAATACATAAACATAGACATAGAAACAAAGGCACAGACATAGACACAGAAAAAGACACAAAGACAGACAAACATACACACACACACACACAGAGAAGGGTAGACATAGATGAAAACATAGGCAAGGACATAGTCATAGACACTGATGCAAAGACAGAGGTAGACACAGACAGACACATACACATAAACTAAGACACAGAGATACGAAGACATACACACAGAGAAAGACTCAGACCTAGACAAACACAATGCTGTATCATAGACACAGACATAGACATACACATAGATGTAGACATAGATGAAAATATAAACACATTTTCATAGATGCTGATGTAGAGATAAAAATGTGGCAGCTCACTTCTTAACTTGGAAATAGAGTAAAATCTCAGACAATTCACAGCTTCAGACATTGCGGTCTCTGCTAGCTGTATTCTAGATAGTCATCTCTAAAACCTACTTCTGACCTGTCCCTCCCATACTCAAAAAAAATCTCCATGGATCCCTAGTACCCTCTGGATCATGTCCACATTCTTTTATCTAAATCCATTCTAACTCTCTTTTCATTTGTTTGGTTCTTTAATAGATAATGTCTTGCTGTGATGCCCAGACTGGAGTGAAGGAACTATTCACATGCATGATTGCAGTGCACTATAGCTTCAAACTATTGGGCTCAAGCAATCCTCTCTCAGCCTCCCAAGTAGCCGGGACAGCTGACATGCACCACTGCACCATGCATCATTCTAACACTTGAATTCATATCCCAGAGAAGCCCACCTTGCTCAGCAGGAGCACATCAATAAAGTCCAAAGTCTTGGTCTTGGCTTTGGTCTTGAGGAATTCATCAATACCCTGACTTGGAAGGCTGCAGCGTCGCTCCTGGATCACAGCATCTGTGAAGTCATGCACCAGCTTACAGGCCTTACGGAAGCGCCACCCATCTGGAGTGAGATGGTACAGGAAGTCCAGGTGAAGGAGAACCTGCTGCTGCCTTTCTGCCACAAGGGCACTGAGCTCCAAGATGGCAGCAATATATTCACTGGGCTTCCTGCAGCATGAGGGAACAAGGAAGGAAAGAATATGTAACCCATTTGAAGGCCCAAGAGCACCTCCCACCAGCAGCCAGGATCTACCTCCCATTGGGAAACTGAGAATCTTGAAACAAATGGCACCATAGATACACAGAATGGATCAGCCATGAGACTTGGCTCTTCAAGCCCTATTCTCTCCTTGCATTCCACCTCTGTGAGCTGCCTCTGTACCAGAAGGCTCCCAGAGCATAGTTTGGACATCAGGGTCCTCTGCTCCTCTGTCTCCTATCCAGTATCCAGTCCAGCCCCTTCTTCTTTCTGAAACTGTGCATGGTGCTAAGACTTCATCCTCTCCAAGTGGTCCGTGACCCAGTCCCCCCCCACCAAGCCTCCTGCATCCAAAGTTAATTCCACCTAGTGTCTACATGACAGTTCTCCCCAGAGCTTAGCCCATCTAGGAACCATGAGAACCATGCCCATCATTAGCTCAATCACCTTCAGGGGCTCTCTGGAAACTTCATGATAAAGTTATACCACTCTCCTAGGGTTTTCAATGCCCTGGAGATCTAGCCTCTGTCTACCTCTACAACCTCAATCCTAGTGTGTGCTGCACATGCTCTGCTCATCCTAGCTTCCTTGCTTTACTCAAACAATTTCAACTACCTGTAAAAACCATGCTTTCCCTCTTCCTTTCCCTGTCGTTCCAAGCAAAGCTATGACACAACTCTTCCAAGAAGGCTCTGGTTTCCCTGGTCTGTCCTCCTATCCCCACCTATACCCTTGGGTCCATGGCCAACATTCACAGGCTGTGGGCAAAGACTTACTCCTGACAGTTGCTGTCAAAGCTGAAGACACATTTTTGCAGGCTGTCCAAGGTCATGAGGCTGATGTGCTCAAACATGTCCAGATTGTCACTGCCCTGTGAGACCAGGCGCTGCCACTTGGCCTAGACACATAAGAAGACAGAGCTATCATAGGACCCTGACTCCCTTGAGCTCTTTGTCAACCCTACCCATAAACAGCTTCTTGGTCCTCTGTCCCAGGAACCCATCCCCAGAGACAACAAGGCTTGGGGGGAGGGGAGCAGAAGCTGTTATTATTTGAAGATGAAGACTCAAGGCTGGGAGTCAGGAGAGCTGGGTTCCTGTTCCAGCTGTGCATCCTGTGCTCTGAGTGCCCTTGGTCAACTCTTTGCCCTGCTCCAGTTTCCACTTGTCAAATACTCAGTAACTGTTGAGTTGACTGGCTTTAGTGCCAGATAAACAATCCAGGTTAGAACACCTGCTCCACCACTCCTAGCTCATTTACCAGCTGAGTAGACAAGGGAAAACTCCCGCGTCTCTCTGGCCCTCCATTTCATCATCTATATTGGGGCAAAAATAATTGCTCCTTCACAGAGTTGTTAAAATTGAATTATAAAATTTATGTTCATATCATGGAATTGGCACATGACATTATTTCTGGAATAAGGAGAGTTCAGAATAAATGTTTCAGTTTCTTGGCTCTATTTCTACAAATGTAATACAAAACTATCCCTATGTTGGGAGAGGTAGTCTTCTATGGGCTCTGAGTATCCTTTCTGGGCAGGCCAAAGATGTGAGGCACTGATGTTCTTAGACGTATGTTTGCAGAAAATGATCTTGAGGGGTAAGATAAGGACTCCCTCTGGACACGTATCAGGCTTGTGTCTTCCTGCTAAGAAATAGATTCCCTAAGCCTACTGCTCCTTCTGTGTAATGCAACATACTCCATGAGCAGATTATCAGGGCTCACCTTGTCACTCCCATGGGATTTGGGTGGCTTGAAGAAAGAATGTCAATGAACAAGAAGCACATGTTGTTTGCAGTGCCACGAGTAATAAACTACCCTTTGCCTCTAACCCTGGAGTCTCATGTCTTCTGGCAGAATCCATGAAACAGGAATCAGTTAACTTAATCAGATTTCACATTAAAAACAAAAAACCCTAGGCACTTCATGAAACCCACTTGTTCCCAATTCTTCACTTCTCCCATAGCCACACTCTTTGCAATATTATTTCTCAGCAATGTCCATTAAGACGTGGAGCCTATTTTAGCCCTCTTTGATTGATTTTATCCTGGACTTTGGCTTCCTATGGCCAAATCCGATGTAGACAAAATGATTAGGTAATAACTAATATTTTTAACATTCAAGAGGCATTGCAACCTCCTCTCACTCCCTCAGAAACCTGTCTCTGCCATGTGAGCAGCACTGGGATTCCTTCCTGAGGTAGAGATCAAATGGAGGACAGTCTAGTTGTCCCAGTTAGGACCATCCTAGATCATCCTGAATACAGCCCCACACATGAGAGAACTGAGGCAGGATCTGCAATATTGCCTAGTGGAACCCCATGGCTGACCGTCTACATCCCATCTACATACAGAGGAATCAGCCAACTGTCCCATGTACACAGTAACCATCACAGACCTTTATTGCTTTAAACTGATGAACAGTTTGTACTCAGAAATGGTTACTATGCAATCATCATCATTGTTATCTTGAGTTTACAAAGATTCTGTGAGAAGCTGACACCTCTGAGCATCTTTTATGTACTGGGATCATCACTCCACTACCACCTTTTAAGTAGGGATTATTATACCCATTTTACAGATGAGGAAACTAAGGCTCAGACAGGAAGAGCAGTGGCCCTAAGCCACCTAGTAGACCTAAAATTCCAGACCAGAACTGTCTGAGGCCCCTTTGACTGCAAAGATTCAGTTGGAACCTTGGGCTGAAGGAACTCACATGCATGATGTTTGCACTCTCATTGAAAATCTTCATATAGGGCTTCAGTATGTTGAAATGGAAGGCAGGTGTCAGCATGCGACGGTGGCGGCTCCACTTATCACCAGCACTCAACAGGAGCCCATCCCCTGGTAAGGCAGCCAAGGGCAGTGGGCATGGAAAGTGCCTTCCTGTGACCCAATTAGGTTGTCCCCACCCTCTTCATCTTCAGTTACTCACCCAGCCAGGGTTTCAGGAAGGAGTAGAAGACCAGGTCCTTCAGTGCAATGTTGGCTGGCCAGAACAAAGACCATAATGGAATGGGCAGAGGGGTAGGGAAGGGGTAGAGGCTTTCAGCCTGCAGTTTGTACTTTTCTTCTCCAAGCCCAGAATAGCAGGAAGGGGGCTAAGGGCAAAGGAAGCATGGAGGATAGAGGAGAGGAGGGTATCAGACACAGCTGCAGAAGCACAGTAGAGCAAAGACACTGCCTACCAGTACATGCCCCAACACAACTTGACATAGATCCTTAAGTGTACAACATGTTCTGCAATACCCAAGCATAACTCAGCAATCTACAAAACACATTTACAGGGACTTAAGACATCCTCTCTGCACCAAAACTCATCAACATCTGACATGGACCTGGGACATGTGATATGGCTCAAACATATAAATACATGACAACCCTGACCATGACACAATGTGTTCTAACACAGACCTGAGATGGTCTCGCATGACCTAAGCGTGTCATATAGACAGTCCCCACAGGGTTTAAATATAGTTGCTTTAATGTCCCTGATGTGGCACAGGTGTCACCCAGACTATTCCTCAGTCATGACATGAACATGCCCCAAGACCTTCCTCAAACAATATTCAAAATATTTTCAGACAGTTCACAAAAGGACTCTGGATCCCAGATTTTTTTTTTTTTTTTTTTGAGACAGAGCCTCAAGCTGTCCCCCTGGGTAGAGTGCCATGGCATCACAGCTCACAGCAACCTCCAACTCCTGGGCTCCAGCGAGTCTCCTGCCTCCGCCTCCCAAGTAGCTGGGACCACAGGCGCCCGCCACAACGCCCAGCTATTTTTTGGTTGCAGCCATCATTGTTGTTTTGGCGGGTCCGGGCTGGGGATTCGAACCCGCCACCTTAGGTATACGTGGCTGGCGCCTTAGCCAGTTGAGCTATAGGCGCCGAGCCTGGATCCCAGACTTTGAACAAAGCTCAAACATGTCCTAGACATGACCAGCAGGAGAAAAAGACAATCTCAGAAAAGTTCAGAAAATCACCAGAAACATCTTGAGATAGCTGAAATGTCTTAAACTACACTTGAGGCCCAGACATGATCAGCTCCATGTAATCCTAGGTGTAACCTGTACCCAGATATAAATATAAATATTTCCATGTGTGGCCTTACAGCAGACATGACCCTACAGTAGCTGTCACACAGACATGCCTCAAACATGAGCAGATAAGACCAGAGGTCAGACTAGTAGAAGTCAAAGGGAGACAGTGGCAGTGTCCTCTCTACCTCAGTCCCTCCTGTCTACATTCGGGTCACCAGACCAGGCACAGGCAACACAGGGACCTCAGCAGCAGGCAAGCTGCAAACAGAGAATGTCTACCTGGAGCAAAAAGCACAGGCCTGATGAATGTGGAGTGGAAGATGCTGATGACTGCATGCAAGGGCCCCACCTGCCAGAGGCAGACAGCCCCAAAGGTGCTCGCCAGGCCCTGTGTGTACAGGATACCTTCCTCTGAGCTCTGAATCTGCAGAAGAACAAACAAGACCCAAGTCATGCTCTTCTAGGCTTCCAGAGATAAGAACCTTCAACGTAGAGACCTAGACTCGAGCCTTCATTGTGCAGCATCTCATCCTTGGCTCCCTCACCATGTCCTCCGTATATGGCACTCTGGGTCCTTCAGTTGCAGGAATATAAAAGATCATTTCCCATTTGAATCCAAATCACCATGTTCACCTGGGTTCTCCTCCCTCTCATTTTTCAGATCAAGAGACTAAAGCTCCAAAAATGAGTCCCTTAACTGTGGCCTCTTCCACAATAAGGGCATCCCTGATACCTCAGTCCATCTGTCTGAATCCAGGGCCTGAGTCCTTATCCATCACGCTCACTTGCACTACCGAAGCAAGAACTCTGGAAGCTCCACATGTGCCAAGACCGGGCAATCAGAGTCACAGTGATTGGATGATAATTTAGTTCAGGCCAGAACAACTAAAGTGAACTACAGCCCATCTATGGGACTATGAGAGAAAGGAGAACTTTCCCAAGAACACTGAGCTTTAGGGACTCATCATTGACACCAAAAGGAAAGGGCTGCCTGAAAAGAAAAGGTAAAAGAACAGAGAAAGGTAAAACTGAATGGGGGCAGATTACCTATGACACTGAGGCCTGGATCCAGCTGTGCCTGAAGGCCACCTTCCCTGGAATATACACTTGATAGATCCCCTTTATTTGCTTAGAATAGGTGGGATTGAGTTTCCATCTCTCAAAACTGAAAAAGACCTCAGCAGGGAGAGGAAGCCAGGACCTGTCCAGAGCCACTCAGCATTCTGGAGTCTGAGCCATGATATCTATTGCTCTGGGCCTGCAGACTGATGTTAGGCCCAGCAACAGATCATCAGTACTAACAGTGCCCACTTCCTCTCTCTGTCTTCTTCTTTAAGAAAATTTCTGCTCATTGTTCCAGACACAGCTCCAGAAACTCTTCCTCCAGGAAGTTTGGCAACCTGCCCTAAGGATTCTCTTCAGAGCTGTCACAGGTGGAGGACAGTATAGTTGTCCCAGTTAGGACCATCCTAGATCATCCTGAATATAGCCAAGCCCCACACATGAGAGAACTGAGGCAAGATCAGCAATATTGCCTAATGGAACTCCATAGCTGACCGTCTACATCCCATCTACATACAAAAGAACCAGCCAACTGTCCCAAGTGCTGGCCTATTCCTGACCAAGTGAAGTTGGGAATGTCTTCATCCACACACATTCCCTGAATGTTGATGATTCCTCAGGGCAGGTCTTGGATTGAGAACTAGGACTCCAGAAGTGCCCAGAACACCAGGGAACAGGGAAAGATGGCAGTGCAGAAAGGGGACATTGAGGTGAAGGTTGGTGAATATATGAAGGAAAGACAGTGATGGCTAAGAGAGGGCAGAGAAAGAAGGGCTGGGCTGCTACAGGTATGTGAGGAAGCTCAGGAAGGAGGGGCTGGAAGCCCTGGATGTGCTGTGGCCCCACCACCAGGTGTTCCAGATGAGTACCTGAGGCGTTGAGAACAGACCGGATAATGTCAGGGTGGCACAAACTGATGATGGGGAAGACAGGGCCCATCCAGGTCACAAAACCCTGGGGGTAGTTGGCCACCAGCTGTGTCAGTTCCCTCATCCCCTGCTCCGTGGGGGTTACCTGCAAGCAAGGCAGGAGCCGTCACCTCCTATGATGGTTAATTTTAGGTACCAACATGACTGGGCTAAGGTATGCCCAGATAGCTGGTAAACATTATTTCTGGAGAAGATATTAGCAATTGAATTGCTAAACTAAGGAAGGAAGATCCACCCTTCCCACTGTGGGCAGGCATCATCCAATCCATTGAGGGACAGAAGGGAACGAGAAGACAGAGGAAAGGGGACTTGGCTCTGTCTTCTGGAGTTGGGACATCCATCTTCTCCTGCCCTTGGACATCAGAACTCCAGCTTCTCAAGCCTTTGGATTCAGGCTGAATTATACCATCAGTGTCTCTGGTTCTCCAGCTTACAGATGGGATATTATTGGGTTTCTTGACATAATTATGCCAGCTAATTCCCATAATAAATTCTCTGTCTTGCTCTTACTGTCTCACTGTATCTCTCTCACACACATACACATACATGCATAAAAGAGGGGCGATAACCAATTGATGCAGCTTCTAAGGAGAACCCTAATACAGCAGGTCCTCCCCCAACCTTGCTCTGCACCAACGAAGTGCAGCCTCTACAGTGAACAGTGTGCTCTGATTCTTAACAGATGGAGAGAATCTCTGCTTCCTCCTGCTCTTTCTCTTGGGGCTGTCTCCAAGCCCCAAAGGTGTATCCCAGGACAGAGGGAGAAGATACTGCCTGCTCTGAGATTAGCCCACCTTAGCCCAGAGGACAGATTTTCTTATCCTGGGAGTGGATGCAGAGCCGGGGAAGCCATACGGGGTGAGCCACCTTCCTCACTTCTCAGCTTTTCCACACTCCAGCCCACTCTCAACCCCCATCTCCCTGAGCCCCTTTCCTAACCCTTATGAAGTCCACCCACTTTGACATCACAGACCCATCCTGCTGCCATACTCACCATGCCCTGGTGACCCCAAAACCAGCTTCGTTTTGGGGGCTGTGGGAAACAGCGGAGGTGACGGTAGTTGTCATAGAAGGTGTAAGTCCAGGCCAGGATGCGGGCCAAGAGCCATGACGCCCCCACCAGCAGCAGCAGCGTCCATGGGGAGGCCGCCACTGGCCCTAGGCCCAGCCAGGACAGGCTCAGCTGTGGCATCTATAGAACAGAGGAGTGAAAAGGGAAATCTGGAAGTCCAGGAGAGGCCAAGGAGGCTCCAAGGCCAGTGCAGAGGGGCAGGAACAGGGAGGGCTCAGAGATGAGTAAACAGTGCCTGAGAGCTAAAGTCCAGAAAGGCCCAGCCAGAATCTGTAGCCAATTGGCCTCCAGTTGTCTAGTAAGCACACACGTTATGAACAGCACCTGGCACACAGTAAACAGAATTTATACACAGCACCTGGCATACAGAGAGGCTTATGATAATCAGAAAAGCCTAGCCTGAATCACTTTGAGATCGCCAAAGGCTCAATTACCAGAAAACCACCACTCCCAGGGCGACATCCCTGGAGTTGCTTCAGCCTTCGGCAGCCCCTCTGCATCTCTGGCCAGAACCATCTAGCCCCACCACCCCTAGCCTGATACCTTCTCTCAGAAGCTACTTGTCCACACAAGCTTCTCTCCCTTCTGCTGGGAGGTCTTTGTCCCCAGCCCCTTATAAGGAGTGGCTACAGGAGAGCTGGGCTGGGCTGGACCATGCCCAGGCAGGTGGCCAAAATATGGGACAGGGAAACAGCTGAGTGCACTGGAACAACCTCAGGATGACACAGCATGGGCACTGGGTTGTCAAGGTTCAGCACTTCCCAGAAGTGGGGTGGAGGGCAAATTAGAGGTGATCAAAGGTGACTTTGAGCCCCAAGGTTTACAGCCACCCCTGCTGTGTGTTGAGACATGATTTCTATGAACAGGGACAAAGTGGGCAGCCTCAGGTCAAATTCTGGCTATGAATAGCCCAGATGCAAGGGCAAACCTGGAGGCTAGACTCAGTGTCTAGTTCTAGGACAGAACAGAAAAATGAAGGCTGAGAGGGGTCATGAGGAGATGGGATCCACACAAGGGAGGGTAGAGACGGGGGCCCTGCATGGAGTCCACATTCTGTCCCATCACTGTTCTGACTGTGGACAGTGCCAGCCAATCTGGACTCAGTCTTCCCAGCTGGGAAATGGGACACCAGCTGAGTGACTTAGAGGGGGACAATGGATGATCTCTTTCTGGCTTCTAAATAATAACTTCAAATCTTCTTTAGGTTCACAAGTGTAGGTGGACTGTGGTTGATTCTCTTCATGGTCTGCTTATGTAGAAGGTGGTGGGTTCTAGGATTTCACTCGTGAATGATGTATCCAGGAATCTATTCCCATAACTTTAACAGCTATAGAAGCAGACAAGATAATAGGAAAGGGACCCTCCCAAGTTGGGGTAATTAGGTCTCTTCCCAAAGTTAGTTTAATTGCCTCTGGGGTTAGGACAGCTGCTATTACTCACAGAACATGCGGCCAACCCTTGGCCATGGAGTCAATTTCTTTACTAAGATAACCTACAGGTTTCAAAACTGGACCCCTGTGTTGGGTCAAGAGCCCTAGGGCAATTCCAGTCCACTCTGTAAAGATAGGTTATTGTTGTCCCATAGGAAGACTTAAAGCAGGGGCTTAAAAAAGGGTATTTTTCAACTGTTGGAATGCCTTATCTGCCTCTGTTCCCATTCTAGAGTGACCAAGCACCCTTTGGGGACATTTTTAATTAAATAGTAGAGTGGTCTAGCTATTTCACTATATCCATGAATCCAGAGTCTGCAGAAGCGTGTAATTCCTAGGAAGCCTTGGGTTCTATTCTTTCTTTACCCATGGCTCTCTTTCCCTGTGAAAATTGGAGACCTAAATAGTGCACTTCAGGTACACATAATTGGGCTTTAGCCTTTGAAACTTTGTACCTGCAATCAGCTAGAACTTGGGTAGCTTTGTGGTATTCCTCAGCATCTGGTGCTCCCCAAAGAGGGTCATTTACATACTGAATAAGAGTCGCTATGGGATATGACAAAAGACTCAAGTCCTCAAGTCTGGGGCTAAGGCTACTTTCTGTCTCTAATAAGGGAAGGCATAGTATAGATTCCCGTCCCACATTCATATAAATGGTTGCTCCCTTGGCTCAGCACCCATACGTAGGTAGCTCAGTAAGTAGGGCGCCAGCTACATACATTGAAGCTGGTAGGTTCAAGCCCAGCTGGGGCCTACTAAACAACAATGAAAACTGCAACCAAAAAATAGCTGCAACCAAAAAATAGTCCAACCATTGTGGTGTACGCCTATAGGCCCAGCTACTTGGGAGGCTGAGGCAAGAGAATTACTTAAGCCCAAGAGTTTGAGGTTGCTGTGAGCTGAGATGCCACAGCACTCTTCCCACATTAGTTAGTATGTCCCTTCCCAAAATGGAAGCAGAACTTTCAGACATGATTAGGAAGGTGTGAGAGAAGCCAGGCAGTTTAAAGCTGAGAGAATTTGATAATGCAATCCAGACACCACCTGTATAGTTACAGATTGGGTGGCTAGAAGACCATGGTTAGGAAGGAGTACAGAAAAGGTCGCTCCAGGGTCCAGAAGAAATTCTGCCTCCTGGCCTCCCACTATGAGGCAGACCTGGAGCTCTTGAGGAATGATGACATAAGCGGGAGCCATGAAAATCTGTCCTGGGTACCCTCAGTCCAGTTCAGGGGCTGATGGGACTCACTGTCCCAGGAGGCCTTCACCTCTGGGGATAGGCTGCCCTACAGTGGTCAGCCTTGCATTCTGGACAGGGGCTCAGTGGCTTGCCAGCAGACAGTGCTGCCAAAGGCAATCTGTCTTGAATTGGTCAGTCTGACCACATTAGAAGCATTTGTCCTTAGCTCCTCTGGCTTCCCTCTGCCTCTGAATGGTGCTCATTTGTCAGAGTGCCATCACTGGGGCTGTCATTCCTTTTTTATCTCTTCTTTCTTTTTTCTCTTCCTCCTCCTGATCTTGATTATAAAAGACCACTGGGCTGCCAAAAACACCGGGAGATATCAGCCTGGGGAAAGACTTTATGAAGCAGACTGCCATGGCAATTGCAATAACAACCAAAATAAACAAATGGAAGTTAATTAAACTGAAAAGCTTCTGTACAGCTAAGGAGACAACAACCAAAGCAAATAGACAACCTACACCATGGGAAAGGACATTTGCATATTTTGAATCGACAAAAGCTTAATACCTAGGATCTATAGAGAACTTAAATTAATCCACATGAAAAAAGCCACCAATCCCATATATCAATGTGGAAGAAAGATCAACAGAACCTTCTCTCAAGTAGACAGAATGGCTAGCAAACATATGAAAAAATGCTCATCATTCTTAATTATTAGAGAAATGCAAATCAAAACCACCCTGAGATATCATCTAACTCCAGCAAGAATGGCTCACATCACAAAATCTCAAAACTGCACATGCTGGCACAGATGTGGAGAAAAAGAACACTTTTGCACTCCTGGTGGGATTGTAAACTAATACAACCTTTTTGGAAGGAAGTGTGGAGAACCCTCAAAGAACTCAAGCTAGACCTCCCGTTTGATCCTGCAATCCCATTACTGAGCATCTGTTGCAACCCCTCGGGCCCCTGTGGCCCTGATCTCGATCACAGCAGGAAGGAACCAGGTGTGACACAGATTAGAAGTACAAGCTCGTAGGAGGCAAGCTAGCCCTTCTTAGCAGGGCAGCCCCGAGCAACCTCCGCACCAGCCTTTTATTGAGACCGTACAACACAGGTGAGGGGAGTAACTAACAAACGACTATGTGCTGAAGGCTCCAGCTCTTCTTCCACAAGTAGCACCTATGGAGGAATGGCCCGAGGGTCCACCCCTCAGCTGCAGATCATCTTGCTCAGAGGTCATCTGACTCCTGGCCTCCCCTGCAGGCATCTATCCAGAAGGGAAAAAAAAAATCAAAAACCTTTTATCATAAGGACACTTGCACCAGACTGCTTATCGCAGCTCAATTTATAATCGCCAAAATGTGGAAACAGCCTAAATATCCCCCAACCCAGCAATGGATTAATAAGCTGTGGTACATGTATACCATGGAAAACTATTCAGCCATTAAGAAAACTGATGACTTGGGCAGCACCTGTGGCTCAAAGGAGTAGGGTGCCAGCCCCATATGCCAGAGGTGGCCGGTTCAAACCCAACCCCTGCCCAAAAAAACTGCAAAGAAAAAGGGAGGCTTTACAGCATTTGTATTAACCTGGATGGAAGTGAAACACATTATTCTCAGTAAAGCATCACAAGAATGGAGACGCATGAATCCTATGTATTCAATTGTGATGTGAGGACAATTAATGACATGGTGGGGGTGGGGAAAGAGGAGAGCAGAAAGAGAGAGAGAAGGAGGGAGGAGGGTGGGGGAACGGAATAGCAGAGGGAAGGAGGGAGGGATGGGGTCTCAGTGTGTGACACATCTTGTACCCTCAATGAATCCCCAACAATTAAAAAAAAAAAAGATGGAGACTTTATATCTTTTGTGTTAACCTGGAACCATGTAATACTGTTCAGTCATTAAAAAGATGGAGACTTTACATCTTTTGTGTCAACCTGGATCGAGTTGGAACACATTCTTCTTAGTAAAGCACCACAAGAACAGAGAAGCAAGAATCCAATGTACTCAATTCTAATCTGGAGGCAGTATTTGATCTAATACAAGATGGGGGTAGTGGAATAAGGGAGTGAAGAGAGGGGAGGGGAGAAGGGAATGGGGGTCACGGTGTACAGCACACCTCTTGGGGGCAGGACTCAGTTATAAGAGGGACTTTTCCTTTCAAATGCAATCAGTGCAACCTAATTCTTTGTACCCTCTAAGAATCCCAAACAATTTTAAAAATCCATTCTAAAAAATTAAAAAATGAAAGACCACTGTGGCTGGTTATGATCTGGGCCTAGAGCCAATTTCTAGAGTTTTCTTGGAATGTCTGGGGCTGCCTAAATGATAAATTCATCTTTTAAAATAATTTGGCTCTCTAAAGACTTGGGTGTCAACTTGGTGTGTTTTCTCATTGCCTCCCTAAGCCATTCAAGAAAGGCTAAGGGACTTTCATTTCACTCCTAGCAAATAGTAAACAACTTAGAATAATTCGTAGGCTTTTTCTCGGATCAACATAAACCTTCCAGAATAAAGGTCGGATAAACATTAGAAAATGTTTATTCAACCACCTTGTTTCTCAGGGTCCCATTTAGTATCCTCAAAGGGAACTGCCTGTCTTCCTGTGGGGTATCTGCCGTTTCCTTAGAAGACATTCTGCTATCAGTATTAGACTTGGACCACAAATCCCACACTTTCTAGCCTCGTCTAAGTCTTCATTTTTCTCCTTTAAAGTTTGTTCTAGGAGTAGCATTACATCTCTCCAAGAGAGGTCAAAGCTTTGTCCTAACCTTTGAAAAATATCTGTATACCACCTATGTGGGTCATCAGAAAATTTCCCTAAATCAACCTTGATTTGTTTTAAATCTGCCAGAGAAAATGGAGTGAATACTCAGACATTTCCCTTCTTACAACCCGCAGTCTCAACCAAGGGACACAAAGGGTACAGTTGCTTTCTGCAGGTCCCAGTAGGACCAGAAGAAATTCTTGGAACAGACTTCTTGGGGTTTTCTAAATGCACAGAGGAAGGTGCGGGAGAAGTAGATGGGGGATCTGAACTAGGTGGTGATGGCATCACTCTCAGGAACCCCTGCTCACTTAGGGAAGTTACTACAGCCAGGAGAATCTATCTGACAGGTTTTACAAGTTGGGGGTTGTCTCTGAGAAGAAAGCAAGCTTGCACACAGGTAATTCAGACCATTTCCTGGTTTACCATAATTTAGAGTCCCCTCTGGTAGGATTATTGTTCACCATTGAAGAGTCCATACTAAGGCCAGGCTTGGGTGCAGAAGAAAACCATACATTCTTTATCCATCGTCCAGGGATCAAACATGTCCTAACATAGCCCAACACGGTAGTTCTGGCAGCACAGGCTAGAAAATCAGGTATCCGGAAGCCTGGTCCCACCTGATGAAAGTTCTCTTCTTGGCAAGAGAACATGTACCTGGTGTTCTTTTAGATAGAGAACATTACCCACCTGTGGGAAAGAACAAACGTCCAGTTTCTTTTTTTTTTTTTTTT